TGGGTTCACTCACTCGCAATGGCTGCTGATGATGATTGCACTGATGATGGTGGTGATAATGATGATGTTGGTGATGATGGTGGTGGTGGTGATGATGATGATGGTGGTGATGATGATGGTGGTGGTGGTGATGATGGTGGTGGTGGTGATGATGGTGGTGGTGGTGATGTTGGTGGTGGCTCAGTAAACAGGTCGGGCTCCCACTTCGCCACTCAGCTCCTAGCAGCAGCAATAGCAGCAGCAGTCATTGTAGCAGCAGCAGTCATTGTAGCAGCAGCAGTCATTGTAGCAGCAGTCATTGTAGCAGCAGCAGTCGTAGCCCGCGTATGAGTGTCACGTGACTCAAAGTTATTCTCGCAAACCGCAGGATGGCCCACCTCCCATCACACCTCCCATCACACCTTGCATCACACCTCCCCGTCACACTATTAATGGATCATCAGCAGCAATGGCAGCAGCAGTAGCATCAGCGGTGCCATCAGCAGCAGAATCAGCAGCATCAGCAGCAGGAGCAGCTTTAAACATCTGGGTTGGTGCAGGCATGCGACCGGGCATGGTTCTGGCCTCGTGTACCCTTGCCGGCCTCAATAGGCGCTCGCTAACAGCAGCCAACAGCGCTCTGAAATCCCTCTGCTCCCCCCCTCTGCTCCCCCCGAACGAACCCCCCAACCACAATGCGACTCGTTCCCCTTGGCCAATGCGCAGCCTACACACACGCACAGCCTACACACACACAACCTATATACACACACAGCATATATACATGCTATATACACAGTCTACCTACACAGCCTATGCACACACAGCTTATATACACACACACAGCCTGCCCAATCTGTATACACAGTCTTCACATAACCTATACACCAGACTACACACAGCCTACACACAGACTATACACACACAGACTATACACACACACAGACTATACACACACACAGTCTACACATAACCTATACACCACAGACTACACACAGCCTTCACACGCAGACAATTCATACACTCGCAGAGCTGAACATTCTACACACACACAGCCTACAAAGCCTGTGACAGGCTGTAGGGGCAAGTGCTGTTAGCGAGCACCTATGAAGGCCGGAACGACACACAAGGGGGTGGGTGGCCAGCACCACGCCCGGCCGCCTTTGTCTCCTCAGTAGCGATGTTTACACACCGCACCAGGTACTCATTTGAGGCTGACTCGACCTAGGGGAGGCCCAGGACTGGTTCAGATAATTGTCAGCGGTGTTGGCCGTGAGCGCGAATCGAACTCGGGTCGCCGGGTTCGTAGCGCAGCGCGATAACCGCTGCACCACCGCTCCTCACTACACACACAGCCTACACCCATAGCTTACAGCCCGACACACACACACAGCTGACACACACACACAGCTGACACACACGCACACACAGCTGACACACACACACAGCTGACACACACACACACAGAGCCTACACCCATAGCTTACAGCCCGACACACACACACAGCTGACACACACACACACAGCTGACACACACGCAGAAACAGCTGACACACACACACAGCTGACACACGCACACACAGCTGACACACACACACACACAGCCTACAGCCCTACACGCACACACACAGCTGACACACAGTTGACACACACACACAGCCGACACACACACACAGCCGACACACACACACAGCCGACACACACACACACAGCCGACACACGCACACACAGCTGACACACGCACACACAGCGGGTGGCACTGATTGTGTGTAAACACGTACAGTGCGATGGGGAGAGCACACGTGACACCGCGTGGAAATCGATATACTTGTGGAGTACAGTGCACAAACTCACCCCGACACTTTGCGCGCCTCCCTATTTGCACATCCCACACGCAAAGAGCCCCCCCCCCCCCGCGCCTCCTCCTGCCACCACCATCACCACCATCATCATCATCAGCAAGACGAAGAACTCCCGTGCCCAATTGCCGCAGTCCCATCAAGCTGCCAGTGATGGGAGAGTCAGACCCACAGCACACGACAAAGACCCCCCGTATAGCCTGTAACAATGTTGGGGCAAGTGCTGTTAGCGAGCACCTATGAAGGTCAGAGCGGCACACGAGGGGGTGGGTGGCCAGCACCACGCTCGGCCGCCTTTGTCTCCCCAGTGGCGATTTTTTTCTGGGTTTTTTTCAGTTTCATTTATTTGGTATAGCCCTGTGAGACAATCGGCTCTTGAATCAGGTGCAATCGCAACAAACAAAAAACAAAAACATGAATAAGAAAACATCTTAAAGTGACTTAGCGCAAACCGAAAAATCCAGGAAAAAACAGCAAAAATCTTCCAGAAAAAGCACCGTACACCAACGCTGTGTGCAAAAATCCCAGTGGGATGCAAGTCAAACAACAACAACCACAAGACAGCTTAGATTAAAGCCATCAGTCTAACTCCGTGCGATGTTTACACATCGCACCAGGTACTCATTTGAGGCTGAGTGGACCTAGGGGAGGCCCAGAACCGGTTCGGATAATCGTCACCGGTGTTGGCCGTGAGCGGGAATCGAACTCGGGTCGCCGGGTTCGTAGCGCAGCGTAGCGCTAACCGCTGCACGACCGCTCCCCATCATATCTATGAGACCTTTTTGCCAGGATCAAACAATTATGAAAAATAAAAATAGGTTTTACCCTTTCTGGCAATAAATGCGGACTTGATGCCTTGAAAAAGGTATATATTTGGTGTTTGAACACACATCATAGGCACACCATACACACATTACCCACACACACACCACACACATAGTGCGGTCACCCACACATCACACACGCACGTGGTCACACAGTGTGGCCACACACACATCATACACACAGTGTACTCACACACACAGTGTACTCACACACACAGTGTACTCACACACACATCATACACAGTGTACTCACACACACAGTGTACTCACACACACAGTGTACTCACACACACATCATACACATATCACCCACGCACACTGCAACCGCGCAGTGTGGTCATACACACATCACACGAACAAAGAACCCCCGTATAGCCATCGCAGACTGTTGGGGCAAGTGCTGTTAGCGAGCACCTATGAAGGCCGGCACGGTACACGAGGGGGTTGTTGACCGTGAGCGGGAATCGACCCCGGGTCGACGGATTCGTAAGCGCAGCGCGCTAACTGCTACACTACCACTCCCACACACATCACACACACAACACACACAACACACACATTACCCACACATCACCCACACATCACACACACATCACCCACACATCACACACACACATCACCCACACATCACACACACACATCACCCACACATTACACACACATCACCCACACATCACACACACATCACCCACACATCACCCACACATCACCCACACACATCACACACACATAGGTCACACGCACGTATCTCCCGCTGTCAATGTGTACAATGTGTCCCCACGCGCCTGTCTCCCGGCGTCCGTCTCAACGAGCCTCAGTGAACATCCAAATCCCCGCGTCTCCTTGAGTCTGTCTCAACCGAGTCTCAGTGAACATCTGAACCCCGCGTCTCCCTCCCTGTGTCCACGCGCGAGTCGCTCACAGGCGCGCGCGCGGCTGTGCAACTCCGGAGAAACACGACCATTCACCAACCCACCTCCCAACTCAATCACCCACGCACCCCTTCGCTCACCAGCTCACCGCACTCGCTCACCTACAGCCGCTTGTACTCACTCGTTCACGCTGACCCACCCACTGGGCCCCCACCTCGCGCTCGGCTCATCAACCTGCTGCTTCAGAGACGCATGCGGCGGCTCTTGAGGGCTGCTGCTGCATCGCGACGTGTGAATTATGAAGGACCGCCGTCTCGTGTCCACATGGCACCGCGGCTCTTGAAATGTCGCGGGTTTTTTTTACTTTTTAATCGAATTCGAACTAAAAAAATGTCTCCTCTATTTATTTTGGTTGCCGAACTCTCGCACCAGGGCATTCACTCACTCACCCTGTCACTCACAAGCTCATCGACCAATTCACTCACTCACTCACCCTGTCACTCATAAGCTCAGACTCATTCACTCAACCTGTCACTCACAAGCTCATAGACTCATTCACTCACTCACCCTCTCACTCACAAGTTCATTGACTCTTTCGCTCACTTACCCTCTTACTCACAAGTTCATTGACTCATTCACTCGCCCTCTCACTCACAAACTCATCGACTCATTCACTCACCCTCTCAGTAACTCGCGGAGAGACCGCCAAATCAACCACTCGCCTGCTCTCTCTTCATTCATTCACACACTGACGATCCCCGTCCATTCGCTGGCACACTCACCATGTCGTCACCAACTCTGTGAAACATCCACCCGTGTGCTAGACACCCGTTCACCAACCACACTCACAGTGGCACTCACTCCCAAACTCAACCACAAACCACATACACTCACTCACCAAGTCACTCGCTCACAAACACTCACTCACCACGTCACTCACCAATTATCTCACTCACTCACCAAGTCATCTTCCCAGTCACTCGCTCACCAACACTCACTCGTCAACACACTCATTTACCACGTCAAGAAAACATCATCACTCACTAGGAAAGTTACTCACGACGAGAGCTCACCAAGTCACGAACACACTTGCCACTTACTCACCAATTGTCTCACTCCCCAAGTGAGTAACCTACTCACAACATCACATCACTCACCGCGTCACTCGCTTGCCAGCACCGCTCACTCACCTGTGTGCCGCGTTACTCACTCACTCTGTCACTCACTCGCTCACTCACTCGCTCACTCTGTCACTCACTCTGTCACTCACTCACTGTCACTCACTGTCACTCACTCGCTCACTCTGTCACTCACTCGCTCACTCTGTCACTCACTTTGTCACTCACTCACTCACTCTGTCACTCACCCGCTCACTCACTCACTCACTCTGTCACTCACTCATTCTGTCACTCACTCGCTCACTCACTCGCTCACTCTGTCACTCACTCGCTCACTCTGTCACTCACCCGCCAGGGCTCCGGGTCGACTGCGCTTGATCTGGCGCGGGTTGCGCTGCTTGCGCCGGGACATCGCCAAGCCGCCGGCGCCGCGGGCGATGGCGATGATGATGGTGGTGCGTGCGTCAATGATGGTGATGATGGGGGCGATGGGGGCGATGAGTGTGGTGGTGATGTTGTTGTTGCGCGTGTCAACGATGATGATGGTGGTGATGATAGTTGTCGCGATAGTGATGTTGTTTGCGACGGGGGAGGTGATGCTGAGAGTGATGGAGTTAGCAATGGTGATGGTCACGATGATGATGATGATGTCCGCGACACCGCCACTGCCGCTGCTGCTGCCGCCGCCGACTTGTCCCCGCCGCGCCGCACGTGCGCGGCGGGCGGAGCGAGGCGCGGAGAAGAGGAGAGCCCCCCGCCCCCCCCCCCGCCACCTGCGCTTTCGCGTCGCCGGGAACTCAACTCTGACAACACCCCCCAGACCCCGACTGAGGGGGTCTCGGGTCTCCTGCACCCCGCTTCGCGCCCCCCCCCTCCTCCTCCTCCCACCACCACAGACAAGGCGTCCCCCCCCCCCCCACCACCCCGGCCGCCGCTCCAAACAATGTCACCCAGGTCCCGTGCCCCCCAGCACAGCAGCACGGTGGCCCCCCGCGAATGTTGCGAGCGAGAGCGCGGCGTGGAGCCGGGGTCCGCGTTGCCCGCTCCGCTCCCACTGACAGCCGCTCCCCCCCCCCCGCATCACCCCCCAACACCCCCCTCTCCCCCCTGGACCGGGCCACGCCCCCGCCACGCCCCTCCTCTCGTCTAACGCCGCCGATTGGCTACGAGTCCCCACGATTGCCACGCCCACCGCCGTGCTCACCCAATCCGATTGGCGCAGCTACAACCCCCACGACCCCTCCCCCCGCTTGGCAGCTCGACGCCTCCTATTGGAGCAGCTCGGTGTTTGGGCCTCGCCTTCCCCTCCCGAGCCCCGCCCATACCAGCGGAGGGGGCGGGACGTCGCCCGCGTATCCAGACTGGCAATTGTATAGCCGCTTTCCATCACCGTTGGTGTCCGCAGAGGCGCTTATCAGCACTACCAAGTGTGAACAGAAGCTGCGCATGCGCGTTGCGGATTTTGGTGGAACCCACAGGTGAGGGAAAGGTGAGGGTGAGTTTGGTGATGTCCACCATCACAGTCACCATCACCAAACATCATCACCCTCAGCAACATCACTAATACCATCAACATCAGTCTCACCGACATCACCAACGCCATCACTTTCAACAACAACAACCTCCTTTTGCCATTAATTGGCGGTGATGTCACAACGGCGCTTGTGCCAGGCTAGGTGCACTTTGAGGCCACGTGAAGTATTCTCAGGCCCGCTGGCAGGAGGCCACGGGACAGACACAGGTGCCATGGGTTGACTGACCGAGATGACTCCCAGATGCACCCACCGTGTGCCAACTCGCTGCGTTTTATCCGCCCGGCGCTCGGCTCGTTGTTGTGAGCGTAGCTCCTCTGCCCTCTGTTGTTGCCGAAGGGCGACTGCCTCCAACGCCCCAGCAGCAGCAGCAGCGTCCTTCACGAGCCTCCTCTGCTTCTTTACCCGCCTTGTAGACAAGTTATTTACTTGCAAGCCAGAGGAGGTTATTCGTCACTCGTGTGTGGTGGCTTCCCTGTTTTTTTGCGATTCGAAGGCTGGCGTGATATGAACTTTCCATGACCTTTAACATTTCATGTTGCGTTCACACAGCTCGAGTCGTATTTTATTTCTGGTTTTTTGGGAGGTCATTTCGCCCCCATTCCCGGTACGGCCACTCGTGCTGCTTACCAAAGACAAAGATCCCCCGTGTAGCCTTAACGGGCTGGAGGGGGCAAGTGTTGTTAGCGAGCACCTATGAAGGCCGGCACGGCACACGAGGGGGTGGGTGGCCAGAACCACGCTCGGCCTCCTTTGTCTCCCCGGTGGCGATGTTTACACACCGCACCGGGTACTGTACTCATTTGAGGCCGAGTCGACCTAGGGGAGGACCAGGACCGGTTCAGATAATCGTCACTGGAGTTGGCCGTGAAGCGGGAATCGAAATCGGGTCGCCGGGTTCTACGCAGCGTAGCGCTGACCACGAAACAACAACAACAGCACCACGCACCTGCACTCCAAGTCCTCTGCAGGTGGATGTCCGCTTTCTCGAGTCGCGACTTTTCACCGTGTCATCACTGGCTATATTAGTTGTTGTCGTTTGAAAAGATCCCATTTCAGCCACATCCATTTCTGGATGTCTAACGACTGATACGAGCCCACTGCACTCACTAAATTTTAGAAAACGCACTGCATTCTGGTACAATGCTTTCCATGTAACAGTGGTGGACAAACCGAGTCGTCGTGAGCTCAGAATCAGTTGTGCGACGAGAAAACGTGTAATAAAGCTAAACGTAAAATCGAATATTAGTTGTATTGATTCCAACACCATACGTGTCAAACGTTGTCAGGGTATAACTAAACCATCCTCTATCAGTATGTGAAAGGCTTTACTATATATATGATCTATCAACACGCAGCCACTTCCTTTCCCTAGTTATGAAACCTTTCCGCGGACCACCTGAATGGAGCGTGGTCCGCAGACCGCAGTTTGAGATCATCTCATCTACATCACTCATCGCCGTAAACAAATATACTCATACCATCACCATAATCAGGAGTTGTCATCATAATTATCACGTATATTCTCGGCAGCATCCTCACGAATATAATCATCTGAATAAATGGCATATTTTTCATCGATATCATCACCTACTACCATCAACATCACTAATTTTATCACGACAAAAATCATCCTCACCATCCTCCCTAATACCATCGTGATAATCACCAACATCATCAACAACCACTTTAGATTTGAAGCTTTCGTGACTGCAAGGATTCAAACTCTTAGGTGACTTTATCGGAAAAAACCTAAGAGTAACAACCACTTTCTCACCTGTGTGAGAGCTCCCCCTGCCTATCACCTGCCTCTTTGCGAGTACGCTGTTACTCTACCCCATCTTTACCCCGGAACTACTAAGACACCTCTATAACTAACACAAACACTGCCTCTTCCCTTAGCAATAGCACCACCTATATATACCCCTTAAACTACCATTATCGAACATTTTGCCACCGAATACCCGCAAAGCCGTGCAAACTGCAAGGTAGTTTACACGTTCTATTGCCAACGACAACCACTTAAATATCAAGCAAGACCTTAACAATGTTCCTCGCCTCCAACTCAAGTCCCGATCCCCCTTGAATCGCCCTCTCACCCTCTCACCATCCGAACATCTCACCCAGATCTGGAAGAACACTGGCGGGCAGAGTGGAACAACGCAGACGTCCAAAAGAAACACCTCATTCGAGACACACACATCGCACCCCATGGCTTTGACATTCTTTTGAAGACGTTGGTGTAACGATCAGCTGCATCAGAACATCAACAGGCCGATGAGCACATCTTCATGAATGGAAAAGACACAAGCCACAGGAGTGTGATGGTGGGCATGCAACCCGAGCTAGAGATCACGCAGCAGACCACTGTAGTCTGCGCTCCTTACATTGAGGAACAGCAACGCGACATGAACTCTCTCTCCCGCAGCCCTCTCGTGGCTAGCAGTCCTCAACATTGCCATTTAGCTCTTGAGCACACTTTTTCTGTGTGCAAAAATATAACTATCACGAGCCGACGATCCCCAACACCACCACCTTACCCCAAACACCCACATGCTACTTCTATCCCATACACTCCCCCTAACCCTAGTCCTTCGTCTATCCTAAACACTAAAGCTACCTCCAGCCCCAACATTATTAACAACACTTTTACTACCTACAACTAGCCCTAACCCCAACACGACCGACCTCGATCTCTCTCGCTGCGCACAGCAGTAAAACAGGACACAGGCAGCAGCCGGCACCATCTCTGCGATGAGTATTTATTTCATCATCATCATCACCTTCGTCATTAATATATCAATAATAATTATAATTCATTTATTTTTAAAATAATAATTGTCATTGTAACATCTCTGTGGAGTCCCAGGTCCCCGTGAGCACGATTCCATCTCGGCCCTCACCGCGTGGAGCCTCGTGTTCATATCGGACATCACTCTCGCCTACTCTGCAGGTAACACACCTGTGTCAGCTGATAGCACCATGGGGTTTGGTCCACTGCGAGTGGAAGGAGGGCGGTCGCGGGCCAGTCAAGGACTCCCGTCCTCACGTGGCCCACCAACCCCCCTCAATGCAAGCACCTTATTTATACACACGTGTACGTGCGTGTGTGTAAGCACACATGTGCTTGTACTTGTGTACGTGTACTTGTGTACTGACGAGAGGCGTGCAGGTATACAGCAAGTATTGTGGTGGTGATCGAGGAGGAGGAGGAGTGGAGGGTAACACCATAGTTCTGCATCTGGCACACCACATCCAGTATACCTCCTCTCGCTATGGCTGTGGCTACTCGTCACGTGGCACCTAGTCGAATCTACCAGTGACCCGTAACATATTTAGTCAGACATTAAACTCTGGGGAACGAACCTGGGGGGGCAGGTATGACCCCCTCCCTCTGTCCCCCACCACACAACACTAAAACATCAACACAGACAATGACGAACGATGAGATGCAGCACTTGCACATGGCGGCAGCAAGCTTTCAGGGTTCGAGTTAGACTCGGGATCAGGGTTTGGGTAAGAAATGACGCGTGTGTTGAAGGCTTCATGTGAGAGCAAAGCTTAGGGGTCACCTGTAGGGTGTATAGCGGGGTTAGGGTGAAGATCGTGGTTAGGGGTAAGGTAAGGCTCAGAGCTAGGCTCAGGATTAGTGTGAGGGTTATCTTCAGAGTTAGGCTCAGGACAACCGATAACGTTGCTTCTAGGCTCAGGGTTAGGGGTAAGGTTAGACTCAGGGTTAGACTCAGGGTTAGACTCAGGTCTCCGAGGGTAAAGTTAGGTCTAGGGCTAGGCTCAGGGCTAGGGGCAAGGCGAGGGTTAGGCTCAGAAATACTGTCGGGGTTAGCGTCGTCAGGGCTGGATCAGAGTAAAGGGCTTGACCCTGGGGCCAGCGAGCCGTTCGCACAACCGCCGCACGGCCCCCACCCGTGCACCTGTCACAGTATTCAAATCGAAGTCGTCTTGGCTGCGCACGGCTGGCGGTGGTGGCATGGAGGTTCGCTCTGATCCCCCACCCAGGGCCACACGGCACAGGGGAGACCTGGGCCCAGACTTCACAGCAAACCCACCCGTCCCTCCCGCCCCCCGTCTCTCCCCTCACTCCCAGGTCTCGCATTTCTCGAGGAATACGGGACCCAAATAAAACAATGAGCACCTCTTCTCTTGTAGCTGCACGTTTGGGCTGAGTGTCCCGGGCCATCCCACGCGAGTGTGAAGCTTTCTTACCGAGAGAAAGGACTGTGAAGTCACAGCAGCAGTGATGCAGTGACCCCACTGAGGGCAGGATTAACACCGGCTTATGTATGCGACACGAGCGATGTCGACTTAACTTGCCACGTGACTTGGTTATATCGATACAAGGCGTCAAATTACGTTTCCGTCTCCAAGAGGCGCAGCTAGAATTTCACGTGTGGGTGTTTGTGTCGACTTCACCTGATCCAACATTTTCTCCGACGCGAATTCCACGCGCGGTGAAGCGCGGCCGCCACTCATCTCACTTCCCATTGGCTCCTGCCCCTTCGCTGGCCACGCTCGTCCCGTATTCGCGTAAAAAGAAAGATCACAGAACCACGGCCGCATAATCGCCGTGTCTTAACTTCATAATGTGTCCAAGGTTGCACTCGGCAAAGACAAAGATCCCCCGTATAGCCTTAACAGACTGTTGGGGCAAGTGCTGTTAGCGAGCACCTATGAAGGCACATATACACAAAAGCACATATATTAATGTAGATATTAAATTGTTTGTTTACCTATCAGTGAATAGCCTTCTCTGCACACTTTTTATAGTATGTACAGTATATAGACTATGTATACTACACATCCATTGCACTAATAGTACTGTATTACACCATTACATAGTCATACAGCATACTGCACATATAGTAGAAGCTACAGATGCGCAGTCTATACTGCACTCATAGTGCTATGTATATATACCCTGTATATAGTGTTATTCTGCACATCTATATATAGGCTTCTATATATGTGTGGTTTTTAGCACCTCAAATCTTGCGAGATCGGCACGGGTGCCGATGTTTAGCATCCGTGCCGTCGATATGAGCCTGCCCTTGTGGGTGGTAACTAAGAGCCGACAGAGCCGCCACGTGGCAGTTGCAGCGATATAAATTATCGCGCTTATCGTCGCACTTATGTCGACGTTAAACGCTCGCATGTCCATGGGAGTTGAGTGACGTCAATGCAGCACTTCTGACAGTGACTTTTCAGGGGTTTGTTTTGTTGGTTTATCAATGATGAAGCTACACAAACTCGTGTGTGACAGCCCGTAACACAGCCTGGTGAATTAAACGTCCACTCGTGGCTGCTGCGATGGGTAACGTCAACCCATTACATGTAAAATAAGAATGTTCAGCCCCTTATAGTCAATCCACTGCTAAATGAAGGCCTCCCCATGCCATTTCGGTCGTGGGGGTGTTGTCTGACCATACCTCACCGCGCTGGCTCAGTCCAGGTTGGTGAAGGTTGGGGGAGGGGACGTAGGACCAATTTAGATGTGAGCACTCATGTTAGCCATGCGCTGGGAATTGAACTCAAGCGGCCGAGCTTATAGTGCAGCGCGCTAACCACTGCGCCACCGCAGTTCGACGCGTGCGCTGCGAGCTTCAGAATCAATATTAATCGATGATGCAGCATTGTGCCGGCTGGGATGGGTGGGATAAGAGTTGCTCGTGGTGTTTGGGTTGCGGTTTCCGTCAAATCGTGGTTGTGTCCGAGAGCGATTGCTCAGCGCTACAGCTGTAAACATTTAAATACAGGAGATAACACAGAATACTGACACCAGTGGCACGGCGTGGTTGTCATGGGCGCTGTTGCAAGGAATTCAATGTGCCCTCCCCCTTGTCAGCGTCACCCTCCTGGTGCCCGGGCCCTCCCCTCTGGCCCGTGGGAATCCCCGGTGCAGTTGCACTGCCTGCGCACTCAGTAGCTAGGCCACTGACTTCAGTGTCACCACCTCGCCCACCTCGGCAGAGGAAAATCAACAAACGCGTCTGTATAAAATACAATCTGCCACATCTTGGAGAGGTACAGCAGGACAGAAGAAATGTAAAGGCTTCTTTGGTCTGGTAATTCATGGTACTTGACCACACGAGTATAAGTGAGATGCATAGAAGCAGCGTTGGACTGCGATGGCAAGGGGAGGCCTTCATCCAGCAGTGGACAGATAACTGCTGATGGTGATGGCTGCACAATATCAGGAGAGGGCCACACTGCGTGGAGATAGTTGATAAGCCTCCTGGTTATTCCGATAGCTGCTCCTTGCACTCCTTTCTCAGCGGGATCTTGAAGGTCGTGAGGCGGTGGCCGAACATCTGGTTGAGGAGATCCCGCTGCGACTGGGCCGACTTGCAGCTGGCGGGCAGTGCCGGCCGTGGCCTCGGGGTGTGAGGGCCCCCCGTGCGACTCCCACCGCAGAGGGAATCGAGCAGCGGCCTCCTGTGGGGCCCCGGCACCTCGCGCGAGGAGGAGTGGCTCGAGAAGAAGGCCGTGTAGAGGGTGCCGACGCTGGACCTGGAGTCTTCAAGGTCGCCGCTTGCGCCAGCAGACGAGCTCGTACCGTTGACATTGCCAGCGGACGTTCCACTAAAAGTTCCACTGACGTTTCCGCCACTAGCACCATTGAGCTTTCCACCGGACACTCCATCACCACTTCCAAAACTAGCTCCGTAAATCTTTCCACTGATGTTTCCACCTCCGGCACTGTTAACTTTTTCACTAGAAACTCCACCACCAACATTTCCCCCACCAGTTCCACCAATCCCGCCACCAGTACCACCATTTCCACTGCCGCTTACGGTGACGTTTCCAACGCCAGCACCTCTGCCGCCAGTTCCACTGCCGACTCCACCGACATTTCCTCCCCCACCACCGCAGGCGAGACCCAGGTGGTGTCCATGACGAGGTATGGTCTGGTTGGGGTGGCCGGGCTTGGGGGCCCTTGCCGCCACCTTGAGGCGCTTGCCGGGTGCCTCCCTACAACCGCCGGTGGGGCCAGCGCTGTCACAGGGCCGCTTGGGGCCTCTCTGGGGCTTATCAGGTGAGCTCTTCCGGTTGTAGCTGTTGGTGGTGCTGCAGGTGGTGGCGGCGGCGCCCCACGTGTTGGTACCCCCCGTACCGGTGCCACCTGTGATAGTTCCTCCCTTGCTAATACCTCCTGTACCGTGGCTGTTGCTGATGTTCTTCATGAAAGTACACCCAACGCTGCTGCTATCGCTGGTGCCCTCTGTCAGAGTATAGGAGCCTCCCTGGCCGGTGCCCCCTGGTGAAGTGTCCCCTGTGCCGGTGCCCCGCGTGCTGGTGCCCTCCGTGATGTTGGTCCCTGTTCTGCTGCTGCTGCTGGTGCTGCTGGTGCTGCTGCTGGTGCTGCTGGTGCTGCTGGTGCTGGTGCTGCTGGTGTGCCCCACGACGGCGATCCCTGTCGTGCCGTCCCCTGCGGGAGACTCTTCTGCGCTCGTGCCGGAGATGCCCGGTGTGATGCTGCTGCTATCGCTGATGCTTTCTGAAATGTTGGTATCGCTGGTGACCCCCATGCTGGTACCCTCTGCACCGTTACCCTCTGCCCTGGTACCCCCTGCACTGGAACCCTCTATTCTGGAGCTGCTGTTTCCGATGCCCCTTGTGTCGCTGCTGTTATCGGTAATGCCCATGCTGCTGTTCCTGATGCTATTCTTGATGGACCCTGTACTGGTGCTACCGCTGGTTCTTGTGCCCCATGTGCTGCTGCCACTGTCATTGCTCGCGTCCCCCATGCTGTTGCTATCTGTATTCCCTCCGCTGATGCTATTGTTGGTGTCCGCTGTGTTTCTTCTTTTCATGTCCCCCGTGTTGTCGCTGTAGCTGGTGCCTGATGTGCTGGTGCTGTAGCTGTCGGCACTCCCCATGCTGCAGCTGTTGTTGGTGCCACCCCCTGTATCGGTGCTGCTGCTGCTGGCGCTGTGTCTTGTGTTCTTCGTGCTGCTGCTGCTGCTGCTATCATTACCCCCGGTACCAGTGCTGTGATTGGTGGCCCCCATGCTAGTGCTGTTATTGCTGGCCCCCATGCTGGCACTGGTGTTATTAGGGCCCCCCATGCTAGTGCTGTTATTGGTGATATCTGTGCTGCTACTGCTGCTGGTGATCGTGCTGCTATTGCTGTTACTGCTGGTGCTGTTAATACCCCCTATGCTGCAATTATTTCTCGTGCTCTCTGTGCCGCTGTTACTGCTGCTATCGGCATCCCCCGTGCCGGTGCTGTGGCTCACGTCTCCCGCGCTTGTGCCATTATTGGCGTTAGCCGTGCTGTTGCTGCAACTGATTGTGCCCCCTGTGCTGCTGATTGTCCCCCCTGTCCTGCTGATATGATTTTCCTCTGTACAATTGCTGTGGATCGTGTCCCTCGTGTTATTGCTGTTATTGGTGCCCCCTCTGCTGGTGCTGTAGTCGATCCCCCCCGCGGGGATTGAGACCCCTCGGAGCAGCACCCTTTCTCGGGACACGGCAACCTCATCCACATTGCCCTCGGTGAGGGGTGCAGGCGGGGAATGAGGAACGGTGAAGCAGCTGTTTCCTTGCAGAACTTCATCATCAGCATCATCATCATCTCCATCATCATCTCCATCATCATCTCCATCATCTCCATCATCGTCTCCATCATCATCTCCATCATCATCTCCATCATCATCATCATCAGCAGGTGCTTCAGAAGGGAAGATCCTTGCTTGGAAGCCATGTGACCTCGCCACACACATCGTGAAGACGTTGGCTGCCCCTATCGTCTCCGATTGCATGGGGTTCTCCTTAGCATCTCCGTCCATTTCACCAGGCTCCTCGCCGAACATCATTCGCCTGCGCTCTGCAAACATCTCGAGTGTGTCGCCCTCGTCCACCCCCAGTTTGCACCTCTTCGGTCGCGGGCCGCAATCCATGGTCAGTGCACGTGAGCTGGTGTTGGCACGGGGCAACTCCCGCGGCCTCACGGCCCTCCGGAAGGCCCTGACGGCTCCCCCGGCCGTCAGGTGCTTGTCCATGTGTCGGTCGAACTGCTCCTTCTTTGAGAAGGTGTAGTTGCAAGCGCTGCAGATGAAGGACTTCTTGATGACGTGCATGACGTCGGCGCACTGTTCGCAGTCGTAGATGGTGACGTGGCGCACCACCTCGGCCTCCTCCTCGTCCACGCCGTGAGCCGCGCCCAGGTGCGCCCGCAGGTCCGACGCGTCGAGGAAGACGACGGGACACAGCTGGCACACGTGCGCACGCTGCAGGCTGTGCACCACCAGGTGCCTCTGCAGCTTGAAGGGCTTGGGGAACTGCTTGCCGCAGTGGTGGCAGTCACGCGAAGGGTCCTTGCAGTCGGGGTGGACCCCCCCGGCGGGGATGCGCGCGGCCGCCAGCTCGCACGCGGGTCCCTGTTCGGGTCCCTGTTCGGGTTCCTGTTCGGGTTCCTGTTCGGGTCCCTGTTCGGGTCCCTGTTCGGGTTCCTGTTCGGGTTCCGCAGTCGCGACCTTCGTTGCCGGTCCCTCTCGTGCCCCACCGGGGCCCTGGCCAGGAGAGACGGATGTCGCGTCCACGCCGGTTCCGGCCACCGGCTCGGGAAGGGCCCCTGCGGGCAGCAGCGGCGCCTGCGGCTTCGGGCCCCGTTCCTCGTCGTTGTCGGAGTCGCGGGTGCCGTACTCGTCGTTGCACGCGGCCATCATGAGCGCCATCTTGTGCACCTGGCCCTTCTTGGAGAACTGTGCCGCGTGCTCGCGCAGGTGCTCGTTGTACATCCACATGTCCGACAGCTCCTTGAGGCACATGCCGCAGCTCCACGTGCGCTGCTGACTTTGCTTGCAGTGCTTCTCGCGCAGGTGCTCGCGCAGCTGCTCGCGGGAGCTGAACTTGCGCTGCACGCACATGTAGCAAGTGGGGGGCGGCGCCGGGATGTGTGACAGCTTGTGGAAGTCCAGCTCGCCCAGCGTGAGGAACCACTGGAAACATGCGCGACACTTGTACTGCTTGTCGCGATTCCTCACGGTCGGCTCTTGCCGGCCCCGGGAACACGTTTTGATTTCGTCGGCGAGTTCCCGGAGGACCCCCTCGAGGAACCCCGGTGGCAGTGGCTCTGCCAGGAGGTGCGCGTCCACCAGAGCCTCAGACGCGTCGGATGGAGACGGCGAGAAGAGGCGACGTTCCTCCACGAAGGATGGCAGGAGCTGTTCGTCCAGCACCGGTGAGCATCGGCCGCCGTGGGCTGCTGTGGCTGAGGAGAGGTCACAGATGTGCGGTTCCTCGGCGCTCGGCTCGGCGGTGCCGCGCATTGGGACGTCGCGGGGGGCATCCGCGTGCGCCCGCACCGTGCTCAGGTGCCGCTCGATGGCTTCGATGAAGGGGTCCTCGGGTAGGTCCAGCATCGGGCTTTTGGTCAACTCACACTGGCCCATCATCTCCATGGGCGCCACCTCTGGAATGCATTGGGGATGTCTGTTACCATTGCAGCTGCCATTCTCGTCCCTCTCCTCCAGAATCCCGCTAAACATGGCCACGCTGGGGCAATCAGGATACGTGTCTTGTAGGGGTAGCGAAGCCTGCAGGCTGCAGGGGCCCTGGTAAAGGTCGGCCTCAAAGCTGCGCGCTCCGTGATCCTGCAGCACCATCGGCTCCTCCCTGCTGCTGCCATGTGATTCCATGTCCTGTCGTTCTGTGTCTTCGTTCTCCTCCTCCTCCTTGTCCTCCTCATCCTCCACACTTTTATTCTGGTTGTAGGGGACAGGCATCACCCTTGGAGCAGTGGCGATGAGGAAGGGGCTTCGGGGCTCCGGTGTTCTCTGTCCACCCACATCTGCATCCTCCTCTGTCGCTCTGGGTTGTGCACAGGGTTCCCACATCTTCACTAATCCGGCACCCGCATCCACTTGTGCATGCAGATCTCTTATTGCGTCTCCCGCAAGCAGCGACGGCAGCCGGTGCCTGTGCATCACGGATTCACCAACACCACCAGCTCTTTTAGGGCTGTTGTCTGCACCGTCCATCTCAGTACCTGAGCTCTCATGTGTCGCAGCTGCAGGAATTTGGTCCAGTTCATTGAATTGGAACAAACTCTCTACAAAAGCCTGCGCTGTGTTCTCCACCACTGGTGTGCACGGGCTGAGAGAACCACATTGCGGTGGCGATAGTTCGGGTTGCGCTGGTCGGGAACTGTTCACAGTCGTGGCCATGTCTGCGTTGCACACCTGCGAGATGTTGGTGCTCGTTATGGTCGAGTCTAGTTGTGCTATATGGGCACGTGAGCAGCCGTCAATGTCTGCCACAGGTTGCTTGTGTGGCCAGCGCAGGTCGGAGTTGTGTGTGAGCATGGAAAGGTTAGGATGCGATATTCCCTCCTGTGCTGCCCCCACTGATTCTGCCACCACCGGTTCTGCCCCCTCAACTGCATCCTCCTTCACGTGCGAGATGTCATCAAGCTGCACTTGTGCGTTGTGTCTGATGGCCTTGTGCCGCACTAATCCCACCCGGGACCTGAAGGAAGCCTGGCACACATTGCACAGTGAGGGGGCCTCCTCTGGACCCCATCCCGTGATGACCTCAATGCTTGGGGAACTGGGGGCCTGGGTTACCGAATGTGGACAAGGGTGGCTCATTATCTTGGAGCCTGGATCAGGAGGGCTGGAGTGAGGGCCCTTCTTGAGTGGTGGTTCTTCTTCTTCCTCCAGAGCTTCAGGTTCACCACTGCTCAGGAATCTCACCTGCACATCTGCAGGTGACTTCCCAAATGTGCCACTCAGCGCCAACAATGGCACTGTCTGTGCATCTTCGTAATCGAGAGAGTGGTTTTCTCTCTTGGTGGCTGAACCTGCGACTGGCTGATCAAGGTCGGGACCTGTGTGCTCCGTGTTTAAACGAGGGAGCTCATGGCCCCCGCTGACGATGGCTCCACCGTGATCTCTGCCTCCTTCGTGACCTCCGCGTCCTCCTCCTGTAGCAGTGAACTCCAGCACGGAGGAGCCCAAACACGAAGGGCGATCCTGCTCGCCTATTGGCTCACACCGGTCAACAAGCTGCGCTGGTTGTGATCCTCGGCTTGTTGTGAAGGCCACCGGATGTGCGCTGTTATCCTCATCCACCTGGAGCCGCGTGGCACCCAGGCCCCAGTGCTGAGCGGTGCGATTGAGTTCTTGTTCATGGTGGGCCACGACAGTGACCAGGAGCTCGGCAGATTTGGTAGGGAGGCCACGATGGGGTTCGGCGTGAAGATAAACGGCCTCTGGGTTCCCACGCTCCCCCAAGCAAGTTTCACCTGAAGGGTTCATTGCCTTGGTTTCCAATTCCCGTTCAGTTTTGCTTTCAATTTGAGATGAGTGCAGAATATTCAGTGGGACGGCATCAGATTGAGAGGTGATACATTCTCCATTTTCTTTTGCGAAGCGCAGCTGCTGACCCATCGCTCCTTCACTGGGGCATGAATTTCTCCTTCTACGAGGCGACTTTGTAGCATTGGTGAGATGACATCTGTTTCCCGCAGCTGCTTGTGGCTGCTGCTGCTGCTGCTGAGGCTCGTCAGGGCAGGGGTCACCACTAGAGGAGTGTGGACAAGCACGAGAAAAAGTCATGACACTCTCTGTTGTGGCTGAGAAACTGCTGCTCCTATGACCCAAAGAGATGTGCTCGCTTGCAAAGAGTAAACCTTCACATGTGGCCTTTGGTCTTTTCATTTCTGGAGGTTTTGCGGACTCGATGCACTCACCAACTGCTTCAACATTCTCTTTTGTTATTGCATAACTTGATTCAACAGATTTAACTATGCTGTCCATGAGCTGTATTTCCGGATCTGCTTTTGGGCTGTGCTCAAGTGTAGAAGAGTCCAGGAGAGATTTCACGTGGAGATCTGCATTAATTTGCACAAGGCTTCTGCAAACTGGTTTCATGTCCTCCCTGGCAGAGGCTCCACCTGCAAATCCACCGCACTCGGCACTGTTCACGATGTCAGTTTCAGAGCCACCATCACAACTCGCCGCGTCACCGAAGATGAAGCTGTCAGGGGAAATAGGGGAGTAGAGAACTTCGTGAAGGCCTACGGCAGGATTCATGGGCATCTGGCACTTGGGCGAATGTATTCCAACTCCAGGTGCTCCATCTGTAGGGAAGTAAGGTGAGTCCCTTGGTTCCAACTCTGAACAGATGGGTGGGTCACCCTGCACTGAACTTGAAACTACCATGGCCTTCTCCTTGATGCATGCTACTGCAGCTTCAGGGCCTTCATCACAGAGTTCAGGGACTCCGTTCAGTGTGGCGTTTTCAGAGAGACATGTAGCTTCATCACAAGTAACTGCAGGCTGTGTGTGGACCTCATCGCATTCCAAGTTCTTTACCAGTCCCAGTGAAATTCTTCCTGCTTCCTGCTCAGCTGTTAGAGACCCCGTGTATTCGCACACAGTAACATTACCATTATGTGAAGGCTCTAGTTTTTCAGAGTCTGACGGTTTCAGCATGCCACAGGGGGCGACCATTGCTGCAGCATCTTCATCCGAGTGACACAGTGCAGCGAGGACGCTTAGTGGAGCTGATGGCAGGAAACTCGTGTCCTCGGGAGCTTGCGAACCAAGCTGCCCCAATTCAACCTGCGGCAACTTCGCTCCAAGTGGCATTGTTGTCGTCGTCCTCATCATCCGGGTCACTGGGGACATGGTTAGAGCACCACTTTCGCTTGTGTTGTTGTCGCAGGGCAGATAGCGCTCGAGCACGGTGAGCGCACGGGAGTCCGGGGACGGTGATGGCGCTTCATCGAAGCAAGGGCTGAATGGGTGGAAGTCGCCTGTCCAGAAGTCACAGTGCAGCACTGGCGACAGGAAGCTGATGGGTTTTGTCTTGGCTTGCTTGGCATCACTCGGCACTGCCACAACAGACTCGGGCGACTGTGCTTTTCCTCTCCTGCACTCGGCTGGCTGTCCTTCACCGAGGCTGCTTCCGTTGCTACTGCTGTTGCTGCTCTCTGAAGTGCAGATGCAAGTGTCATTGTGCAAAGCTGTGTTTTTAAGGTGTTCCACATCTGTAATATTTTTAATGGTGTCCATTATGTTCTTGATCTTGCTACCCTGGACTAAAGGCGGGGTGTGAAACGTGTCTGTCATGTGGAATTCTGTAGAGCCGATGTCTGTCTGTTCTTCGAAATTACTTTCCATATTCAGCGACAGTTTTCCACCGTGACTGAGCAGTGGCTGCGCTAGATTCGAGTTCAGCTCTTGGTTGAGGTCAAAATTCCCCGAGAAAATACTGCTCATCTCGTCTAGGAAGGACCACTCCTTCTCCATGGCATCCGTGGTACTCAAAGTGTCCACGTGGGCCGCGCTGCCATCCTGGCCGATGTCAGTGGCATGTGCCACTCCGCTGGCCTCGATCGGTTCACACCGCGACCGCTCGCCCAGCTCGCTGAGCTGCAGTGCCTCCAGGATGTCCTCTGCGTCAAAGTGAGCCGCTGTCTTTCCCAGGTGGCCGCCCGGCGGGAAGGGCAGCTGAGGGCTGGCGCTGCCACCCAAGTCAAATACCTCGAGGGCAGTACTCGCCAGTGAGTGGCTGGCGCCAGGAGAGACTGCCGGCAACGGATGCTGCAGGGGCCTGGTTGAGTCCGAGTGCTGAGCGCCGGGTTCCCAGTTCTGTGTCGGGTCATCTCTGCTGCTCCCTGACTCACAGCTCACGGCATCGCTCCACCTTTCATGATCCTCCAGTCTCCAGCAGGGACTGCTGAGGGCCTGTAGAGAAGCTCCCTCATGGAACTGGGGCCCCCCCTGTAGCCCTGGGCTGCATATGCCGCCAAGTGACCCCCTATCCATCTCTGGCTGAGATTCCTCTTGCCTTGACACTGCCGCCTCGCCGGAACTGGCACAACTGCCACCGTCATGCTTACAATGTTCAGTGGCCATGCCCAGCTCTGTGTCTTCATTGTGCTGCTCCTTCCAGGCGTGTGATTCTTTCTGGTGCTCAGGAAATTCTGATTGTTGCACAGTATCAGATTGGAGTCTGTTTTTCCCCAGTGAGAAATTTGTGGTGGTCTGTGAATTTGAGGCGATGTTCAACCTCTCACTTGGTGCGATTGGCTGTTTCAAAGGAACCTCTCTTAGGTCGGTCTTTATGCCCTTGCCTCCCATGGGATCGTAATCCGTGTCTGTATCAGATATGTAGTCGTACTCGCTGAGTGGCTGATCTTTCTCCACGGACTTTGGGATGTTTAAAACGAGCTTCAACTTGTCGAGGGGCGACCTCCATGGCTTCATTCTCACTTTATAGAAGTTGTTTTTCTGCAGCACGATTTTGTGAATGAGCTCCTTGTTTAGCCGGCCACTCACTCCCCTCCGGCTCAGCACGTCCACATGTTTAATGCTCCTGTGAGCAATGGGTTTGTACACGGAGGGCAGAGGCTTCTCCGGGCGTGAGCCGAGGGACTCCACCATGTCAGCACTGAGTCCATCCTTTCCACACGTGTTCCCATCAAGAGTGCCATCTCCCAGACCTCCACCAGTGGCACCACCAACATCGTGTGAGGATGTATGGTGTGGCCGGAGAGGGCTACTCGCGCTGTCTGGTGATGGTGCCAGGATGTCTCGTCTCAAGAAGACAGGTGTTGTGGGCATGCACGTCACAGGTGTTGTGATCGTGAGGTTATAGCCATTCCGCTTCCCGGTTGGCAGGGCTGCCCACCGTCCCCTTCGCTGCTTCTTCTTGCTCCTCCGGCTGGTGTGGTACAGCTGCCGCATGTCCTTGCCTCGCCCGCGCCTACCCCGGTGTCGACTGGCTCTGCCTCGCCCCGCGGTCGCCGTGGGCGACGTCTCCTCGTGTCCCTTCCCGACGTCGTTGTCCCTTGCGGCCACCTCCGCTGTGCTCTCCGGAGGTTGTGGCAACGTGGCCGCCGCCGCGACGTCGCCGGCACGACGTGGCACGGGCGCATCTTCGTCCGCGAACGCCTCGATGAAGCTGCTGTCCAGCTCGCCATCGTCCGTGTGGTAGCCCAGTCCGTTGAGCGTCTCGATGATCAGGCTGTCGAGCCGGGCCGCGTCGTCCATGTCCAAATCCGTCGCATGAGTGAGGTGGCCTGGAGCTGTGGCCAGCTGGCTCGGGTTGACCGAGAGCTCGTCCTTGTTGGCTTTTGCCGGGATATTCTCGGCGCAGACGGAGGAGGAGGAGGCCCTCGAGCCGCACTCAAAGCTTCTCACACCTCCGCCCTCGGGAAGCTGCGTTGACACGGGCCGCTGCGTTGCCGAGCGACAGGAGCCGCCGCCGAGCGAGGAGGTCACGCTTTCCAGCAGAGCGGCACTCGGCCCGGTCGGCACGCTGCACGTCTGCCGGTGCTGCAGCAGCGATGCCACGTCGACGAAGTTCTTGTCGCACTGCCGGCACGTCAAGAACACGTCCAGACCATCCAAGCTGGCACCATTGAGGGAGTTGAGGAAGCTCTGCTGGTTTTGCGCAGCCACGTGCATTCCCATGACCCTGCACAGTGAATCCTGTAAGAGTTGCCCCGCGGCGTCCAGGCGAGACTGTCGTTCACCCGGCGCCGGCAAGTCGAGTCCCGCGTCGCTCGGTGGCACGCCCCCCTCGCAGCCCCAGGGCCCTGCGCGTGTCCGTCCCGACCAGGGCCCTCCAGAACCAGTGCAGGATGGTGACATCTGCAGGGAAGCGGCCACGCTCGCCGCACTAACGGGTACCGGCGCCGCCTTCCCTCTGCCGACGTGAGCACCGAAGAAAACTTGCGGCAAAGAGAAAACACCCGGAATCCTTGGCTCCTGGCTCTCGTGGGGAGGAAAGGTGGGCACAGGGCCCTGCGGGGCCCCGGAGTAGCCCTCAACCGCCTCGCATCTCCAAGCCGAGACCTCATCCAAAGGGAGTGGTGGGCGCTTCCTGTCTGCGCAGTCCTTGCCGTGCGGTCCCAATGCCGACATCACCAGCTGCTGCTGGTGGCTCAGCTGGCGCGACAGTTCAATCCGATTCTGGTTTGTCGTGACGGGCGCGTGGTAGATCTGCTGCCAGGGCAGCTTGGCCAGGCCCAGGGGAACCGGGCCCAGGGACATGTGCTGCTCCTGATGACCCACGCTGCTGCCACTAATGCTGCTGCTGTTGCTGGGAAAGGTGCCATGTGTCAGCTGGTCCAAGCGAGGCTCCTGCCCGCACAGGAACGGTAGTCCCTTGTCGGCCTCCACGCACAGCGACGGCGCCTCCTGCAGCTCCCACGGAGGCAGAAGGAATGCGTCCGTGCCATTCACGCCATCGCCGGCCACTTGCTCGGCCGCATTGCCAGCGGAGAAGCTGGTTGGCATTTGCTTCAGGCTGCCGTGCTTCTGAATCAGGAAGCCGCAGTCGGAGGTGGCGCTGCCGTCGAACGTCGGCAAGCACGGACCCTGGAAGCCGAAGGGCGCCGCCTGCGCAGGGCCAGACGGGTCGTCATCCGAGGGCTCCATGGGGCTGAACGGGGCAGATGGGTGCGAGCACTCCACCCAGGGTGCTATTGGCCCATGGTGGTACAGGGTGGATTGCTGTAATAGGGGCAGAGGAAAGTGTTTGACGGGGAGCTGCGCGGTGCACTGGAAAGGCACAGAGTGCATTTCGCCATAGGGTAGCCTGTGCACGGAGTGCTCTCCGTGGCAGAAGCGCGGTGGCGGCTGTAGCGAGTAGGGTCCCTGCGTGAGCGGCTCGGGGGGGGAGTCACGCGGGAGAGGCCGCTGCTGCCCGCACACGGCCTGCAGCGACTGTGCGAGGAGCGAGGTTTCGACGACGCCGGGGAGCAAGTTGCTCTCGTCAGACGATGCCGCTTCCCCTCCAGCACTCGCAAACCCCCAGGGAGTGGCGGCAGTCGCGCCGCGGCGGAAGTGCGGGACATGACCAACAGAACCCAGCTCATCGCGGAAGGCACCACCCTGCGTCCGCCCGTCCGGGAAGACCCGCGGGCTTGCATCGTGCTGCTGCTGCTGAGCGGTACGCGTGGGCAGCGGCGGGCACTTTCCCACGGGCGGCCGGGCATGGAAGTGCGGTGCCTCCCCGCGCTGCCGGTGGCCAATGTCCTCCTTTTGCAGCTCGGCTTCGCGCTCGGGGATGCGGGGCACGTGGAAGCGGTAGCTCCCGTTGACGGGCGGCCGCGGCCCTGGGGCCCTCCTTTGTGGAACGGCCTTCTGTTGCGGGTAGGCAATTCCGATGGTAGGGTTGCTCTTGGGGCCACCCGGCTTATTCCTGCAGAGACCACCGTGTGTCCCTTCCCCACGGCTGTTCCTCCTCACTCGCTCCGGCGCCCGGTGCTTCTCTGGGGACGGGCCACGTATGGCGTCTCCACCGTGGCCAGCGGCCCTCCCCTGGGCCCTGCAGCAGTCGCACCGTTCCCTTTCCCGCTCGGCGCTTGCCACCTGCGTGTGCGCCGTCGCCTCCCGACAGACATTGGCGTCTCTTGCTGCTGCATGTTCCATGCGCCCCACGTGCTCCACGTGCTCCACATGCTCCGCTCGCCGTATGTCCATTGACGAGCAGCGTCGGCACAGCACCTCCGCGCGCCATTGCGCCTCGTCCGTGTCGCCGCCGCCGTCATGCTCGTGGATGTACGATGCGAGGTCGCGCCTGCAGCGATTGCTCATCGTCGCCGCCCGTGAGCCGCCCGCCGGTGCCGCCCTGCGTCGGCGATGAGGCACGCGCTGGTAGCTGGGTCATCACTGTGGCAGGACGGCCGGTGCTTGCGCTGAGACCTTGCGCTGGGGCCCTCGGACAGCACAAGGAGCCCGCACCTCATGGCCCAACGGTGCTGCGCCACCCTCCTCCACGGCCATGAGTCCTGGAAGAAATAAACGAACACAATTGTGGACTTGTACAGTGCCGTTATCCTTTCTTCAGGTCCTTCGGTTTCCTCCCAGGTGAAGTGAATCAACAACATCGGACAGCCTGCATCGGAAACCAGCAGCAGCCAGCAATGATGCTATGTAACCAGCAGAGAATGTGAGCAGCTCAATTCAGCTTCTGAAGAAGCTCCCAGAATGTTGGACATTGTGCCAGACAACATGCGGTACAACCACAAAACACATCGGAGCAGCACAACCCTGAGAATCACCGTCGGAGTATGCACGCTGTTGTTTGTGGGTATTGTCTATACTACCTTGGTTTTGATAATTATACGTAGTCTGAAATCACTTCTTTACGGACAATCTTTTGTCATTTTCTCAAATGTCCCCCCCACCATGTTTTAGCGCCTCGAGATCTACTGCATGGGAGGAACCGTATAATTAATGAATGCATTAGAGGGACCTCCTTTGTCTGTGGATATTGCTCTTAGCGTTGTTTCACCAGCAACATTTCTACCACCGCATTCACGCGTGAGGGCGAGTCGCAGTGCGTCCGTCCATGTGCATTCCTCATTTGTCTACGTCTTGTTTGTCGTCAGGTTCTGCTTGGATACGACCTCCACATTGCAGTGGACAAGTGCCAACCGCGACGCATATTAAGGAGGATGATGGTTCTTGCCTTCTGCCTGGACTGGGTGGAGGACTGAAAGCACGAGACACTGCAGACCATGACGCTGTGGCGTGGCCTCACCCAGGTACCCATTATTATAAATGTTTTACTTTACCGATTTAAATATTTGACCTGGATAATTCCTGGAGATGGAAAATAGCATACACAATCAGAAGAAACTAAATCAATAAGCAGACAATTCACCTCCTTCCCAAATATGTCCCTCCAGGGCCATCGGGGAGTGCACCATTTGAGCAGTATTGGTTCAACACAAGCGCACTCTGGACCAGTTTCAACATTCTATAGCACGTCAGCAGTCAGGCTCAATTAGGCATATTGTCTGATGATTTATTGAGTTACTTATATTCTCCACAACAACGTGAATCATTATTTTGCGCTGTAAGAAGAAAGCCGTGGGCCACATTGGCACGGGGGCCTGTGTTCATGAGCCGCAACCAACGCGGAGCGAAGGCGGGTTAGGCGAGCGTACGATGCCATCGCCGCCGGGTCAGATGGGGCCCACCATGTCGGGAGGCTACGGAGGCCGGAGCTGCTCCTCTTTGTCTCTGAGCCAAGGGGCCCCGGGCCACGCGACGTGGACGGCGCCCCAACCGGGCCCGAGCGAAGCGGAGCGCCGCTCCTCGCCCCGTCGCCCGCGAGCGAGGGCCGCGCGCCACGCTACCGCCCAACCGCACGCTTTTTGCAGCATCATCCCGCGGCGGGAGACCGCAAATAAATTTTCTGGTTGACGTCGGTGACACAGAGGAGAGCGGGAGGGCACGATAGCGGGACACCGGCACCAATCGGCCAAGGGACGAGGGCAGATCCCCGCGGGTCCACGGAGGTGGTGCAAGCCAGCGGGCAGGGTCTGCGGTCGAGACACTGGGAGCATCTGCTTCCGGTTATGGTCCAGCCAGCCCTGCTGCTCCTGGCTGATAACCTGTTGACGCCAAACTCGGCTATCGCATCGCGAAACGAGCTCGGCGCTCCTCCTGCCTCCATGATACATCACGCCTGTTATGACAAGGGCTTCTTTATTTTGTGGGATTTCTCGCCCTATGCCCACCCCCCCAACCGGCCCCCCCTTGTAGATTGGAAGGTTGGGGCGTGGGGGGGGGGGGCTGCCATGTCCATTAATGTTCAATGAAACGTGACCGAGGCCGTGAAATCATCGGCGTGTGGCTCGGAGATGCAGAGCCCGAGAGCACCGCTCGCCATTCACGTCGCCACGGCAACGGCGCGCGTGTGAAATTTCTCGCCGTGCCTCGTGAAATCGCGGTTTCAAATTTCAGATTTCATTAATGGGGAATGGGAGGAGGGGCAGTATTTACATGCGCGTAAACGTACACCCGTTCGGGCGTTTGAAAGTGCGATGCGTCTGATAAGCATCTTCTAAACGAATCATCGGCAGTCGGCCCCGTGGTGTTAATGGGCGAGAGTGATGGGAGGGCATACGGGCAATGCATGCAGGGAAGAGCCACTTCACTTCTGAGAAACAAAAAGGAGAAGCGAGTCGTGTTGTCACAATTCTTGTTGCACAACAGGCCAGAATCCATGGAGAATGAGCCACAGCTCGCGAGCACGGCACGCGCGCGTGCACACCGGGGGACCCACACGCTCCTTCACGGCGGACGGGCGTGCGTGCGTGTGTTCGTGCGTGGGTGTGTGCGTGCGTGGGTGTGCGTGTGTTCGTGTGCGCGAGCGCGGCAGTGGTTGCGAGCCATAAGCGGCGGTGTTCGTGCTTGGCGCACTGTGCAACAAACCCGGCAAACTAAGTTCAGTTCCCGGTCACGACTGCCATCTGTGGCGAATATCTGAACCTGCCATGAACCTCCCCTATGTCAATATGATATTGTGTGTGTCTCAACATGTGGAGTGATGGTGCAGTGGTGATCGCACTGCGCTATCAACCTGGTTACTCGAGTGGTTCCTGACCACAGCTAACATCAGTGGTGAATATCTGAACTGGTTCGGGATCTCCCATAGGTCGACTCAGCCTTAAATGAATACCTGGTGTAGTTTGTAAACATCAACACCGGGGAGACAAAGACGGCAAAGTGTGCTGTCCGCCGTAGCACTCCCTCGTGCGTTGTGCCAGCCTTAATAAGTGCTCGCTCACAGCATGCTTGAGAATAGGGTTTCCCCTTTTTCTGGCAACAAAACAGGTGTTAAGATGTTAAAACACCAAACTGAAACCTTCTTTTACCAGCAACATGTCTGCATTAACCACAATACGTGTGGTCAGAATGCAAACAAAAAACTTACTCTGATAATATTTGATGCATTGTCTTTGAAACTGATTGGTCCACACCAGAGACAGCTTTCATTTTAAATTTGTCTCTGGTGTAAAAGGTTTCAGTTTGGTGTTTAAACAACTTAACAGCTGTTTTGTTTCCAGAAAAAAGTGGAAAACCTATTCTCATATTTTGGTACAGGCAAAGGAGGTCCCATGATGTAACAGCATGCTTCTTTAAAACATCTGTACGGAGGAGTTTGTCTTTGCTCCAACAGTCTGCATGTACCACAGAGGGAATCTGTCTCTTGAGAGCGTGTAAGGCTGTTTGTTCGTAGGGAACGGTGGCGCAGTGATTAGTACACTGCGCTATGAACCCAGGTTACATCGGTGTTGAGTGAGATTTGAAGCTGTCCTGACTACCACCTTCACCAACCTGCACTGCCCAGCGTGGTAAAGTATAGCCAATCAAATCCCATGATAGATATGATGTGGGCAGGCTTTCATCCAGCAGTGGAATAAACAAAGCGCTGTAAATTATCTGATGTGATGTGTGAACATCAACATTGGGGAGACAAAGGGAGACGGGCATGGTGGTGGCTACACTACTCCCGTGTTTGTCATGCCCTCCTCCCTAACAGCACCTGCGTCTACAGCCAATAGGGCAAAGTAGTGGGTGTGAGTTGCTGTGAGTGAGTGAGCGGGTGTGAGTGAGTGAGTGTGAGTAAGTGGGGGTGAGTGAGTGTGAGTGAGTGGGTGTGAGTGGGTGTGAGTGAGTGGGGGTGAGTGGGGGTGAGTGAGTGGGTGTGAGTGAGTGAGTATGTGGGTGTGAGTGGGGGTGAGTGAATGGGTGTGAGTGAGTGAGAGTAAGTGTGGGTGAGTGAGTGGGTGTGAGTGAGTGGGTGTGAGTGGGGCTGAGTGAGTGAGTGGGTGTGAGTGGGTGTGAGTGAGTGGGTGTGAGCGGGTGTGAGTGAGTGGGTGTGAGCGGGTGTGAGTGAGTGGGTGTGAGCGGGTGTGAGTGAGTGGGTGTGAGCGGGTGTGAGTGAGTGGGTGTGAGTCATTTCCTCCCTTCTCTACGCTTGCGAAACGTGGACCCCCCTAATGGAGCATCTTCACCGGTTGGAAACATTTAGGCTGGCCTGCCTACGATCCATCCTGGGATTAACCAGGCTGGATTGTGTGAGGAGCTCACAAATCCTTGAAAGATCTGGGCAAAGTCCCATCGGTGAGCTCCTCCGGCAGGCAAGGCTGCGTTGGCTGGGTCATGTAGCCCGCATGCCTAAACAGCTTTTGTTTGGCCGGATCGAGGGTCTAAACGGGCGCAGCACAGGCTAGAGAAGAGATGGAGTGATGTGGTACAGGAGGATGTGGAGCTGAGTGGACTTGCCGATGACTGGTACTAGCGGTGTGGAGGAGGCTCGTGAAGGATGCTACTGGGCAGTTGGAGGCAGTCGCCCTCCAACAACAACGGAGGGTGGAGGAGCGATGCTCACAACAACGAGCGGAGCGCCGGGTTGCTAAAGCACAGCAAGTTGGCACAGTAGGGGGCACAGGTGGTGCATCAGCCAGCCATCTCGGTCAGTCGACCCGTGGCACCTGGGTCTGCCCCGTGACCTCCTGCCAGCGGGCGTTCGACACTTCACGTGGCCTCAAGGTGCACATGGCCTGGCACAAGCGTCGTGGTGACGTCACCGCCACTTAGTGGCGAATGGCGGTTGTTGTTGTGAGTGGTTGTGAGTGAGTGGGTGGGTCTGAGTGGGTGTGAGTGAGTTAGTGGGTGTGAGTGGTTATGAGTGAGTGGGTGTGAGTGAGTGGGTGTGAGTGCGATGGTGTGAGTGAGTGGTTGTGAGTGAGTGAGTGGTTGTGAGTGGCTGGGGAGCGGTAGTGTAGTGGTTAGCATGCTGCACTATGAACCCGGCTACCCGAGTTGGATTCCCGCTCACGGCTAACACCAGTGACGATTAGTTGAACCGGTCCTGTGCATCCCCTAGGTCGATTCAGCCTCAAATGAGTACCTGGTGTGATGTGTAATCATCGCCACTGGGGAGTCAAAGGCGGTCGGGCGTGGTGCTGACCACCCACCCCCTCGTGTACCGTTCCGGCCTTCATAGGTGCTCGTGAATAGCACTTGCCCCAACAGTCTGTTAAGGCTATATGGGGGATCTTTGTCCTTGTCTCTTTTTTATGACCTGCATGCAGTGTGGTGGAAGTTGAACACACTGCGATTGAGATGGGTGCAGGAATCAACAAGTGAAGTTCACGGGAAGAGTGACCGTGGTAGTCGCGATAGAACAGTGACAAGGAGGCGACTGCCCACGAGCGACGAGGGAATCAGTGAGTGCCGGGTTCTCAATCACTCTGACGTCACCTCGGCGCTTGTGCCAGGCCAGGTGCACTTTGAGGCCACGTGAAGTGTCGAAGGCCCTCTGACAGGAGGTCACGGAACAGACCCAGGTGCCACGAGTCGACTGAGTGAAATTACTCGCTGTGTTCTAGCCGCTCGGCGCTCCTCTCGTTGTGAGCGTCGCTCCTCTGCCCTTCGTTGTTGCTGGTGGGCGACTGCCTCGAACTCCTCAGCAGCGTCCTTCACGAACCTCCTCCACAAAGGCCGATCTGGACACTGCTGGTCAAATCACACTAACTTACCCACTCATCCTCTCTAATCACCCACCCACCCACTCATCCTCTCACTCACCCACCCACTCACCCACCCACTCACCCACCCACTCACCCACCCACTCACCCACCCACTCACCCACCCACTCACCCACCCACCCACTCACCCACCCACCCACTCACCCACTCACCCACCCACTCACTCACCCACTCACTCACCCACTCACCCACCCACT